TAGTATAGCAGCTCAAGTAAGGTCGATCTCCACAGGGATTGAATGAATAATTTATGTTAAAACCAAATCTTAATTAATGATTTGAAAACAAAATTTAGAAGAGGTTGATTTTATGACCTAAAATATTAAAAATGAATTTTATTAAAAAAAATTAAATAAATTGGCAAAGTAATAAAAAAAAACAAAAGAAAATAGTTTTGAAAATAAATTTGAGCACTAGGGTTCCGTTGTCACCTTAACAATTCTACGTAGTTCTTTCAATTACTTATGAATTACCCATGCATATTTTGAAGGTTAGGTTTTCCTAAAGTATGCCCTACTTGAAACCCGTCTGTGGCGTCCAGATCGAATGTGAACATGCAAGACTCATTAAGTTTTGTGAAAACCTTTTGAAAAACCATATAACCCTTAAAACATGTCGTCCATCCTAAGAGGTTACACATATTAACCACAAGAAGCCAACGCCAATTCCAGGGACAGCCCTCCACCAAAATTGCATCAAATTACTTTTCTAAATATCCTAATGGTGGCCAATCATCAAGACAACTAGATAGTTTAAAGCACAGTGGTTAATAATTCAAAACTTGCATGCATAATATTATAAGCAAATTGAAAAAAAAAATACATATTTTTGCTAAGGCTCGTGGCCTCACCCTAGCAAACAAAACTAATTACAAACAATCATAAAATAAAATATTATTAAAAACATGGATAGAAAACACCTTGAAAATACACTTGATTCGTCAAAAGCTCTCTAAAGCCAAAATGTGTGCGTTCTCTCCCCTATTTCTTAACCTAATGGCTAAAAAGCCTTATTTATACTAATACAAAATAAAACCCTAAAAGGTCTTAGAATAAAACCAGGAAACGTAATAAATAGAAATAAAATAGGAAATATAATCCTAAACTGGCCCAAAATAGCTGGATCTAAAGTTTGGACTATTCTGAACACTTCTCCAGCCGAAGTCATCTCGGGCTCCAAAAATGTAGTTTAAGCCCAGAAATGTCACTTTCCAGCAATGCGCACTGCTCCTTCATTTAATCTCCAGAAAATAACCGCTTGGTAGAAATTTCTGATATTTTGACACAAACAACACACGAACGTCCTCCAATTTGAATCACTCGAAATTTCGTCCATTTGGTCAAGTTTTGTTCCAGAGGAAATTGAATATCCTATGTTGAAAATATAAAACAAAGTATCAAAATTCTACCAAAATAATCAATAAATTAATACTAAGAATAGGGTGAAATATATAGTATAATATGAACTCATCACCCCCCCCCCAATGCGAATTAACCAAGCGGATTAATCAAGCATGATCACCCCTAAGTATAAATGGCCATAAGGATCGCCCAACGCAGATTAACCAAGCACGATCCATATATAGTATGGTCCCTCAATGCGGATTAACCAAGCAGGACCACTAATGACCCCCCAATGCGGATTAACCAAGCAGGGTCATAGTCCTCTACTAGCCCTCAATTTACAAAACATTTCAATATGCAATTCGAATCACTTTTTCACAAATATTACCAATCCATGAATCAAATCACATTTAATAAAAATAGATCGATGGCCAATTATAAAAGAATCACATTTTAACAGAAAACACATTTATAAAACCATGTCATATCCACAAAGGATAGTAATATAAAGAATCGGGTAATCACCATATCACATATATTAAAGTCACTCACCGAGACAAGTCAGCAAAGCTTCACTGAGTCTCTAGTAATACTAATTTTAGTAATTCAAATGGTTCAAGACCTGTTGACCAAATGTCAATGGTGGGGTCCACACCGGAAAAGAAATTTGTTAATAACCTAAATGGAAATCGATCTTCCTCCTGAGGATCCGAAATGATAACCAGTGCGCTTAAGAAGATTAGTGTTATCAGGGAACAAAAGTGATTATCCCCTAGATGTTCTTCTGTCGAATGCTACCCTTTTAGCACCACATTGTCATTCGGGACATTTTTGGAAATTTTGACAAAAACTAAAACTTCACAGGAATTCTGATATGTGGTATACTAACGGGTAATGCCAAGGAATCAAAACTGTTTATGGTTTTCTAACTTAAAAGGGTTGGTAGAAATGACCAGATGGTAGTGGATTTGGTTGGTAAATCTCTCGTGATGCACAACTATCGATATAGTAGCCCTGCTTCAGGGCCATCAACTTGTCTCAAATCTACATATTTCCTTGGCAGGAAAATCCTTCGCTTAAAGTTTAGAGGTGGTCGCCAAAGTATTCTTCTAACATGTCAATAAGTCGTCTAAGTAACCCATAACTCAAGAAAAGCTAACACATTTTTTGTATTCGACGAGGTGACAAGATTCGACAATTAGGTTCAAGAACCAAGAATGCTTACAGCACGCGTGTGATGAACGCAATGCTGACCAAACTTATGCTCTGATACCAAACTGACACACCCTGACCCGGAATGCCTACTTAGGCTCCGAATCGAGGTGTGCTGGTCGACACCAGGAGAGTGACGAAGCCATAAAATATAGTGATTTGGAAAATGGAAATAAATTTAAATCTAAAAGTGCCTAAGTATAAGAGTGCGTTAGTGAGCGGGAATCAACCTAGTTCACATGTGATGTCAGAGTATAAGTAAAGTACAATAGAGTAGATTGAGAATTATACCATCAGAAGTAGTCTCTGATATCAGCGTTTGCTAGAAATCCTTGTCGACACGAACATTGCCACTAAATCTTAGAGGGGAGAAAAACAAGGGTGAGTGGGCCTAAAATAAAGTTTTATAAAAAGCTTTTTGAAAACATTATAACCCCTTATCGTAAAACAAGTATAGTTTCCAAAATTTACATACTACGTATAGTATGAAAATACTTACTGTAGCCTGCAAAATCTTAAGAATTCAATACGTCACAAAATTCATAAATAGGTACATAACTTATAGTAATCACAATATCTCGCAGAAATAAACATATCACATCGAGTGCTCATTGACATATGCTGATACACGAGTTCATGCAGAGGTATTCTGACATGAACATGACTGGGTGTAAGCAATGATTTACGCTCTAGTACTACAATCACGTGAAGGCTAGCGCTAAGTGCCTCACATATGAGTCCTAATTGCCTATCGCAATCTAGGATAGGATTACACCTACAATGGATCCAAACTAAGCGTACAGTGCGATGTGAACATACACGTGAAAGATTGGCCCTGGCCTGGGCAAGTACTAACACCAGTGCAGCACACGATGAGTAAATAACACAAATATGATCATGCAATGGTAAATTGATAATGCGATAATTCAATAACCCTAGTCAATGGAATATTATTCATAACCGTAAATACCATTAAAGCATCCATACTAATACGCATACCTGTGTATCCCATAGAACGTAGTATAATTACATGAATTCTGTCAATACGTTAATTTTTATATACGTTACCCTAATATAGGTGTAACTTAGAAAATTCTTTACCAAATATATAAATGGAAACTAACAAATATATATATATATATATATATATATATACACACTATATAAAAGAAAAGACCCACTCACAAGTACCTGCGATGTCACATCCTTTCAAGCTAAGAAAGTCGGAGTCTCCGATAGTAATCGCACCAAAGTATAATATTAGGACTCATTAGTAAAACTCAACTTAAACGATCAAATTTGAGAAAACGGAGTGCGAATTTAGAATCAGAGTGTCGAAATACGCTAAGAGGGGTTAAATGCAAATTTTGTAAAAAGTCAACGAAATGTGAACGGTCAACCCTAAAATGTCAACGAGACGCCTTGGTGGTCAACTATGTTAAAACTTCATGATTTTCCTAAATAGATGTCAAAAATGGACTTGGGACGTCAAAATTAGCCTATGAGGGTTTCTGAGAAAATTTCTTAAAAGTCAACACAGGGAATATTCTGGAATATTTCATATACAATTTAGAACAGATCGGGCCGGATCCCGAGTTCAGATTCGGATCAAGGAATTGGAATATACCTTTGGTTTCCTTGGTCTTGGCCGGAGTTGGCCAAAAAATGGCTCGAAAGCCGCCAGATCTCTGCCGGAACACTGGGTTTGTTACTCTTGGGGTATTTCTACGTCAAACCAGCACTAAAACATCTTAAGAACATCCTCGTCATACTCATAAACACAATCTACGAAGATGTTGAGGGTTTTCGAACCTTACCTTTGTCATGAACGACGAGAACTCGCCATGAATGTTGTCGAAAAAGAAAAATGTGAACAATGGCCTCGGGGAAGAAAGTGAGTGGTGCTGGTTCGACATAGGGGGAGAAAATGACGAAGGTGGTGCTAGCCTGGGTCATCAAGTGGAGTAACCCGCTGGAGTCGCATCGGCAAGGTGGTGGTGGTTTCGGCGTCATTGGGTTTCACCGAAGGAGAGAGGAAATGAGTCTTATGGGAGAGAGGGAGAGGTGGAGTGAGGGAGGAGACAAAACACATGGCAGAAAATGAGAGAAGAGCCTGGGTGATTGTGGACCCCACAGGCCGAAAATATTAATAAAAAAATAAAAATATATCACAAAGAAAATATTAAAATAGTGATATAATAATATAAAATTTTGAATAAATATATAAAATATTAAATAGTAATTTTTTGTTCACTATAAGGATTAACATAATCCCCTACCCCTTTAATGTAGATAATATTTTTTGTTCAAAAAAACAAAAAAAGTCCCACCGTTAGATTCCATTTTTATTTTGTTTAAACCCAAATATTTAGGTTTGGGTCTCCATTGGCGATTCTCTAAAGAGGATAGACAACTCGAATTCCCATGTTGGAGTGACACAAAGTGATCTCTAGATCCCCTAATGCCTTAGTTCAAGTGCTTATAAGGGTAGCGCCACAAAGTTGCACTTGCAATGATCACAATGAAATTTCAAACACTATCCGTCCACAAGCACCCATGCACTTGACCTAATGCCCTTATCGTATCTATAGGATGTATCTATAGGATCTATAAGAACACTAAAAAATATAGATAGTTATAAGTTCAGAAAGATTATTTACTCGACAATCTGGACTAATTGTTGGAAAGATACATAAATCATTAGGAATGGGTGCTTTTATGGACCTTCCTGATTCCTGCTAGCACAATATAACTTCGTAATGCCAGTTAACCCTATAAAAATTACAACAGCACCAGCTCCATTTTTGTGATCTTAAAAATAAGCGACACAAAAACAAAATCGAAAACAAAGACAAAACATTCGCACAAATGTGGTATCACTGAAATACAAAATGGACCTTCTCTAGTCCTCTGAGGCTTCTTACATGTATACAAGGGGACGGAACCAACGAGCATATCATCTAGGACCGGACAACTCATCTAGAGGACCATGAGAAGTTGAGTCTATGATCCGATTAGTACTTGGATGATGAATAGGGTTGAAATATTGGCGGAACACCTCCTTTTTTTGCCACTCCTCCCATCTTTCAGCCAAACCATCACCTTTCAGCATCCGGCCAACCTCTGACATCTTGGGTCGTTCCCCTGGGGTGCCTTGTGTGCACAGCAGAGCTACTTGGATGAGCTGCTCCACTTGATCGTCAACATAATTTCCATGTAGATCAGCATCAACAATTGTTTCCAACCTCTGATCCTTCAGTAGTCCTTTGACCTAATTATTTTAGTTAAAATAAAAAGGAAAAAAATCAGATAGTTCTACAATTTGAAACAAAAGGTGAGGGCACCTAGGAGAGTGAAAATGTGTTGTAATGTTCAAAATTTGAAGGGCTGCAGTATCTCCATAAAATCAAACTGCTTACAAAAATGCATCGTCATTCAAATATTGATATGATGCAAACATATGACAAGGATGCAAACAGAGAATAGAAAGAAGAAAGAGGCCAAGATAGCGAGAATAAAGAGATAATGAAGAAATTAGGATCGATACAAAACACATGCCAAAATCTTCAAGAAATCACCGCAAGGCCAATACATTGGCAAAAGAAGCAACAACAATACTAACAACAATTACCAAGGAAATGTAATAATTAATCTCTGACAATTTAAATCTTAGATTGTTATAAATAAAGATAAATAAATCTTCACAGTTTAATCGTAAGTCTAACTAATAAAAGGTAATTAAACTAAAATTATTTTCTAAAAGTTAAGTATTAGTTCTTTTCTTTGATCCATGATTCTAATTGTTTTCAATATTCGGGCCAAAAAAGACTAAGTGATTTTTACATTAATTAGAGAGGAACTTGGCAGCTCTATGATGAGTAATAGGTTTTTAAATGTTCCATATACAATGATTAAGAATGTCATATGAGATTAGCGGTTTGAAATAAAGTGATTAGGTGTCGAGACCCATTATTTTTGGCTTAAATAAATAGCAACATTGGTATCGAGAGATACACCTAATTCACACTATATTATATAACATTTCTTTAAAAATGAGTATTGAAACATAATTTCCAAGATTTGGACAAAGAGACACAATAGATCGTTGAATTTCAACAACATTATGTCTTTTTTTTTTAATAAAATATGAAACATATTAAGGAAAACAGAAAATTAGCAACAAACAGAAACAGAAACACGTATAAGCATACCCAATCAAGTAACATGACATCATCATTGGTCGCAAGCCGAGCAAGTTCAAAAGCCCTCTGCCCAGTGATGAGTTCAAGAAGCATGACTCCGTATGCAAAAACATCAGTTTTCTCGGAACATTTTCCAGTTGAAAGGTACTCTGGTGCTATATGACCAATTGTGCCACGTACAGCTGTGGTAACATGTGTATCCCTGTAGTCCATGAGTTTAGCCAACCCAAAGTCTCCAACAACTGCTTTGAATTCCTCATCCAACAATATGTTTGCTGCTTTCACATCACGGTGAATAATTTTTGGATCACAGTGATCATGTAAATAAGCAAGGCCTCTGGCAGATTCCAATGCAATGCGTTGTCTTATTGGCCAATCAAGTGCAGGTTGTCCTTCGGGACGATCTACAATAATATATCCACATACTTATGAGAGGAGAATTTCAAATTACAAGCAACAGGTAATGTGGTCTATTCATTGCAGTGGCTGAGGAAAGGGAAGGTGGCGATGGTGGGCGGGGGGAAATGAAGAATGCGGGGACGGGGTGAGAGCAGGATAGGGATGAACAACACCATTTTTTTTTTTTAATCTTTTCTATTTTTTTAGTTTTAAATTAAAAAAAAATTAATTTTCTATTTATTAATCCTTTTTATTTGTTTTTATTCCACGTGAATCATAGTTGGCATCCCCGTCAACAAAATGTAGACCTCACATTTGCCATGTCATCCCTTAACAGTCAAACTGACGGTTTGACTATCAGATGTATGAAATTGCTAAAAATGATAAGTAAATAAATAAAATTGAAATGTTTTAAAATGTTGTATGAGGTTGCAATTACACTCAAACCTGAGGGTGTAAAATGCAATTTACCCATGTGTAAACAAAAAGATTCATCAACGCAGCAAACAATTTAGAAGAGTACCTCTTATACATGATGCCACACTTCCATTAGCCATATAAGGATATACAAGCAGCCTTTCTGTTGGTGTCATGCAAAAACCATGCAGACGAAGCAGATTGCGGTGGACAGCCATGCTAATCATTTCAACCTCTGTTTGAAACTGCAGCTCCCCACCTTGGGTTCTCGCCTCTTTAAGTCTTTTTACAGCAACCAGAGTTCCATCAGCTAAGCGTCCTTTATAAACCTTACCAAATCCACCTCTACCAAGAATATTTTTGTTACTAAAGTTATCCGTTGCAACTTGTAGTTTGCGCAAAGAAAACCTTTTGAGCTGTCCTAAAAGAACTTCTGGATCCTCCTCAGCTGCAAAGACAGTAGATTAGTGAAACCTGCATCCCATACTAAAACACCACCTTTATCAAGCTATATTACTCCTATAGTTCACTAACCAGGTACATCAAAGAAATGATCCTGTGGTTTTCTCCGTCGCCAATAAGCAAGTGTATTTGCAGTTGCAGCAAACGTTAAAGCAGCACCAACAGCAACCCCTCCAGCAATAGCCCCAGTAGCAGTGTTACCTAATATTATTTGCGCAACATGAACCAGAACTAAATGAAAAATCCTTAAAGTCAGAAGTTATATGATGAACTCTCTATCACATGTCATTCTTTTTATCCATTTCTTCAAACTCAAAGAAATAGTACAACACAAAATTAGGAGAGGGTGAGTCTATGATCCAAGTACTTGGATGATGAATAGTGTTGAAATCTTGGCAGATCACCTCCTCGTTTTGCCGCTCCTCCCATCTTTCAGCCAAACCTTCGCCTTCGCCTTCAAGCATTCGGACAACCTCTGACATCTTGGGCCGTTCCCCTGGGGAGCCTTGTGTGCACAGTAGAGCTACTTGGATCAGCTGCTCCACTTGATCGTCAATATAATTTCCATTTAGATCAGCATCAACAAGTCTTTCCAACCTCCGTTCTTTCAGTAGTCGTTTGACCTAATTTTTTTAGGAAAAATAAAACAGAAAATGTCGGGTGGTTCTACAATTTGAAACAAAAGGTGCGGGAACCTAGGAGAACAAAAACGTGTTGTAATGTTCAAAATTTGAAGGACCGCAGTTTTCTACAGAAAATCGAACTGCTTACAAAAATGTTTCGTCATTCAAATATTGATATCATGCAAAGAGAAGACAAAGATGCAATAGAGAGAATAGGAAAAAGCAAGAGGCCACGATAGCGAGAATAAGGAGATGATGAGGAAATTACGATCGACACAAAACATATGCCAAATTCTTCAAGAAATCACAAAATGCCAATACATTGGCAAAAGAAGCAACAACAATAGTAACAATTACTAAGGAAATGCAATAATTAATCTCTGACAGTTTAAACCTTAGATTGTTATAAATAAAGATAAACAAATCTACACAGCTAATCATAACTCTAACTAACAAAAGCTAATTAAACCAAACTTATTTTCTAAAAGCTAATTACTAAGGAAATGCAAATGTTGTTGGGAAATAATCTTGCATATAACAATGAACTAGCTACATACACAAACAGAAAGACGTAAATGCATACCCAATCAACTAACATGACATCATCATCACTCGCAAGATGAGGATTGAAAGCCCTCTGCCCAGTGATGAGTTCAAGAAGCATGACTCCGTATCCAAAAACATCAGTTTTCTCGGAAGACACTCCAGTTGAAAAGTGCTCCGGTGCCATATGACCAAATGTGCCACATACATGTGTGGTAACATATGTATCCTTGTAGTCCATGAGTTTAGCCAACCCAAAGTCTCCAACAACTGCTTCGAATTCCTCATCCAACAATATGTTTGCTGCTTTCACATCACGGTGAATAATTTTTGGATCACAGTGATCATGTAAATAAGCAAGGCCTCTTGCAGATCCCAATGCAATGCGTTGTCTTATTGGCCAATCAAGTGCAGGTTGTCCTTCCGGACGACCTACAATAATATATCCACATACTTATGAGAGGAGAATTTCAAATTACAAGCAACAGGTAATGTGGTCTAACACATATCATACCACCCGTCCTACCCAAAAAAAGGGTCTTCTTGTCATCCTTTTCAAATTAAACAGAAATAAAATCAGCATCGAGAAGGTAAATTAAAATTGAAGGAAACAAAACATTAAAAAAATTAGTGTTGATACTCCAAGCCAAATTGGTCAGGTTTTTAAATTCATTATATCAATGTGATCGAAAAAAAATTTAACGTCGTGAAAACAAAAAGATTCATCAACGCAGCAAACAATTTAGATGAGTACCTCTTAAACAAGATGCCACACTTCCATTAGCCATATAAGGATATACAAGCAGCCTTTCTGTTGGTGTCATGCAAAAACCATGGAGACAAAGCAGATTGCGGTGGTGGACAGCCATTCTAATCATTTCAACTTCTGTTTGAAACTGTAGTTCCCCGTCTTGGGTTCTCTCCTCTGTAAGTCTTTTTACAGCAACCAGAGTTCCATCAGCTAAGCGTCCTCTATAAACCTTACCAAATCCACCTCTACCAATAATATTTTTGTCGCTAAAGGTATCTGTTGCAACTTGTAGCTCGCGCAAAGAAAAGTTTTTGAGCTGTCGTGAATGAACTTGTGGATCCTTCTCAGCTGCAAAGACAGTAGATGAGTGAAACCTGCATCCCATACAACAACTACAACACCAACTTGATCAAGCTATATTACCCTCTCCTCCCTCTTACTGAGATGAAAGTGTATCCCCTGTCAGATTGTTATTTTTGTCCCTAAAGTTAAAGAAAAAGAGTACAGTTGCTTCAACAAACCTGATGGGAGTAAAAAGTGAAAACGATCCATTAACTGGAATATCCCCTGTCAGATTGTTATTTGAAAGATCCCTGCATTCCATGGCAAAACTATATGTTATTTGCATTCTCTGATGGCAGAGAAATTAGTAACTTTTCACTCTCTCCTCCCTCTTACTGAGATGAAAGTGTATGAAACTCACAGGACTTGCAATGACTGAATCTTGAAACCAGGGATCATACTATAAATTATATGCATCCGGCACAAGGACTTTAAGGAAGAAAGTCACTCCAATGGAACAATTAAAAACAGCAGATTAGCATATCGAATAAAAAAGAATGACGATAGATTTTATCTAACAAAAGGATGGGGGTTCATACAGGAAACGCAGTTTTGCAAGGTTGCCAAGTAAAGATCCAAGCTCACCAAGTCTGACAAACCCCCAAGCTCTTCGGGAATGTTTCCAGTCATTCATTCATTCATTAGTTCATTCCAGTTCCCACAACCAAACACTCCCAAATTCAATAACACACAGAGACATACCCTCGACATTGGCTGCAAGCTTGTGGAGGTGAAAGAAGCCAAACAGCAGAATCAGCCAAACAGAAACAGAGGTGGAAGACGTCATCACTGTTGGGTCTTTTGGAGCTCAGGTAAGCAGCTGGCGTTGACCGATCAAAATCCGGAGCATCGCTGCGTTGACCGGATTCCAGAAAATTCGGTGGCTGTTTGATTAAATTGCAGATTGCGTTTGGAAAAGCATGCCGCTGCTTCTTAGAGAGAGAGGTTGAAATCTCAGATTGCTAGTTTTGGAGAAGAAAGAAAGAAAAGGTAAAAGGTTTGGGAGGAAGACGGAGGAGCTGCGGATACATGACTCTCAATCAGTCTAAGTCGCAGCCCACCGCGTCGGAAGTTTCGTTTCTTCTTTTGTTTATATTTATTTTTTACTTTTCAGCGGATTCCTGACATTGTTTATGCAACTTCTCACTCAAAATGAGATTTCTGGTTTTATGCATTATAAATTATTTTAAAGAAAAATTAATGAAAATAGTTTGAAAAATTTGAGTTTTAACGATAATAATAAAATAAAAGGTAAAGTATCATGATTGACTTTTTAATGTAAAAATATGATTTTTCGTTAAAATAAATAGCAGAATCAGGCAAAGTCGCAGCCCACCGCGTTGGAAGTTCCGTTTCTTCTTTTATTTATATTTATTTTTGACTTTTTAGCTGATTCCTGAAATTGTTTTGCAGCTGGCATGAGGAACCCGGAAAAAAATCCCAAAAATCCCAAACCAAACCAAAAAAATCCCGATCTCAAACCAAAAAAATCCCAAACCAAAAATCCCGAAATTTTCGGTATGTAATCCCGAACCAAACCGATATTTTCGGTATGGGATTCGGTTTTGAATCTCAAATTTTCGGTATTCCCAGACCGAATCGAAAATAAATATTATATATATATATATTTTTTTTTTTTCTTTTAATTATAAAAGAATTATTTCAACCGTTCATTGTTTTGGATTTAATCTTTGCCGTTCATATGTTTTTAGGTCAGAATACCATTTCACAAACTTCACTTTCGTTCCATTGTTTCTATCAAATCGAATAGCCGAGCCCTAATCTCTCATCTCTGATCTCTCCCTCATCTAGCCGACAAGCCCTCATCTCATCTCTCTCTCCTCTGTTCTTCTCAATTCCCACACCGACATCGTTCCGGCCGAGCACGACAAGTGGTTACACCCCCCCTTTCTCGGCCAACTTGGACTCGAACGGCGACGTTTACGCCAGGGGGTCCCAGGACATGAAGTGCGTCGGGATTCAGTACTTGGAGGCGATTCGACGGCTCAAGGCTTCTGGGTTTAAGCCCAAAAGGTCTGTTTATTTGTCATATGGTCCTGATGAGGAGATTGGGGGACACGACGGTGCTGAGAAGCTGGCTGAATCTGATGTTTTCAAGGGATTGAACGTCGGAATTGTGCTTGATGAAGGTGAGCTAATCAGACCTTATGATTCTGCTCACTGTTACTAGTTCTTGTTAATTATTTGTTGTTTGCTTGCTATTTGCTAGCCATATTGTCAAATTTGTGCACAGAACTTGTCTGGGTACTCTTCGAATGACTCAATTATCATTTCTTGACTCTTGTGGGGTTTGCTTTGATTCTTGGCATGCTTGCTCAGTTTCTGTGCTCAGTTTCTGGCGTTTACTTTGCAATGTTCAGTTTTGAGCTTCTTCGTTTTGCTTGATTTTGGTTTTTGTGTACAGTTTTGAGCTTCTTAGTTTTCTTTCACTATTTTGCAGTTGATCCATCACTCTCTGCATCGAAATGAAAACTAAGTGTTAGTATTAATATTAAGTAGAGATTAGTAGAAACAAGCCTTGCCATTTGATTGGCAGATTTGATTGGCAGATTTGTAGAAACAAATTGGCAGATTGGGCCTAAAAGCATAATATGTCAAATTTTAGTCTAAAAGCCCAAAAGCCCAAAACCATTTCGGGATTCCCGATTTGTCCCGAAATCCCGAAACTATTTTGGGATTCCCAAAAATTGGGATTCCCGAAAATTTGGTTTGGGATCGGTATTGAAATTGGGATTCCCGAAAATTTCGGTTTGAGAATCGGGACAAGTGTTTTGGTATGGGATCCCATACCGAACCACCCCTAACCCATATGCCGCGGCCACTTCAATAAATCATTGGCCCGTTGCTTTTCAGAAAAAAAGGTAGGGCCCCCAAAAATTTGGGTCAGCCAAATACAAACCCAAATTTGGGTTTAGCTTGGTCAAAAGCCAAACCTTTTAGGTTTAAGTCCAACCATTAGATATTACCTAGTACTACGGTTTAATAGTATTCCTCTTCACATGTAAGAGAGGTCATTACTAGCCCACTATAAGGCTTAACTCAATCCAGATAATATTTTTTTGTTCATAAAAAACAAAAAAGTCCCACAATTAGATTGCATTTTTATTTTGTTTAAACTCAAATATTTAGGTTTAGGTCTTACCCTACAGCTAGTCCTAAATAAATCCTCAAAGATAGTAGAGGGATCCCCATTGGCGATACTCTAAAGAGATTAGACAAAGCTCGAATTCCTGTGTTGGAATGACACAAAGTGATCTCCTGATCCCCTACTGCCTTAGTTCAAGTACTTATAAAGGTGGTGCCACAAATTCGCACTTGCAATGATCACAATGAAATTTCAAACACTATCCATCCGCAACCAGCCATGCACTTGACCTAGTGTCCTTATCGTATCTACAGGATCTATAGGAACACTAAAATATATAGATGGTTATAAGTTTAGAATGATTATTTACTCGACAATTTAGACTAATTTCTAGATAGATACATAAATCATCAGGAATGAGTGCTTTTATGGCCCTTCCTAATTCCTGCTAGCACCATATAACTTCGTAATGCCAGTTGACCCTATAAAACTTACAAGGGGTGTGATATCCACACACCCCTTTTTACTTCTCCCACACCTTTTTGGTTTTCGGCCGTCGGATCAGATGAATTGAAGAAGATCAACGGACAGAAATTAACAAGGGGTGTGTGAGAAGTAAAAAGTGATGTGTGGATAGCACATCCCAAATTACAATAGCATCAGCTCCATTTTATGATCTAAAAAATACGCAAGACAAAACCAAAATTGAAAACAAAGACAAAACATAAGCACAAATGTGGTATCACTGAAATACGAAATGGACATTCTCCAGTCCTCTGAAGGCTTCTTAGATGTATACAGGGGACAGAACCAACGAGCATATCATTTGGGACCGGACAACTCATCAGGAGGAATATGAAAAGTTGAGTCTATGATACAATTAGTACTTGGATGATGAATAGGGTTGAAATCTTGGTGGAACACCTACTCTTTTTGCCACTCCTCCCATCTTTCAGCCAAACCATTGCCTTCCAGCATCCGAACAACCTCTGACATCTTGGGTCGTTCCCCTGGGGTGCCTTGTGTGCACAGTAGAGCTACTTGGATGAGCTGCTCCACTTGATCGTCAACATAATTACCATTTAGATCAGCATCAACAAGTGTTTCCAACCTTCGATCTTTCAGTAGTCTTTTGACCTAATTGTTTTAGTTAAAATAAAACGGAAAACGTCAGATAGTTCTACAATTTGAAACAAAAGGTGAGGGCACCTAGGAGAGTGAAAATGTGTTGTAATGTTCAAAATTTGAAGGGCCGCAGTATCTCCAGAAAATCAAATAGCTTACAAAAATGCATCGTCATTCAAATATAACAATTGACAAAGATGCAAATAGAGAGAATAGAAAGAAGCAAGAGGCCAAGATAGCGAGAATAAAGAGATGATGAGGAAATTAGGATCGATACAAAACACATGCCAAATTCTTCAAGAAATCACAGCAAGGCCAATACATTGGCAAAAGAAGCAACAACAATACTAACAACAATTACCAAGGAAATGTAATAATTAATCTCTGACAATTTAAACCTTAGATTGTCATAAATAAAGATAAATATATCTTCACAGCTTAATCGTAACTCTAACTAATAAAAGCCAATTAAACTAAAGTTATTTTCTAAAAGTTAAGTATTATTTCTTTTCTTTGATCCATGATTCTTACTGTTTTCAACATTCGGGCCAAAAAGACAAGTGATTTTTACATTAATCAAACAGGAATGGTAACAATTACTAAGGAAATGCAAAAATTAACTCTGACAGCTTAAACCTTAGATTGTTATAAATAAAGATAAACAAATCTTCACAGCTAATCACAACTCTAACTAATAAAAGCTAATTAAACCAAACTTATTTTCTAAAAGCTAATTACTAAGGAAATGCAAATGTTGTTGGGAAATAATAATCTTGCATAAAGGTCGTACCCAGTGCACAAGGCTCCCGCTTTACGCAGGGTCTGGAAGAGGTGAATGTCGGCTAGCCTTACCCCCATTTATGGAGAGGCTGCTCCCAAGAAATAATAATCTTGCATATAACAATAAATTAGCTACATACACAAACAGAAAGATGTAAATGCATACCCAATCAACTAACATGGGGTCATCATGACTCGCAAGCTGAGGATCAAAAGCCCTCTGCCCAGTGATGAGTTCAAGAAGCATGACTCCGTATCCAAAAACATCAGTTTTCTCGGAACATTTTCCAGTTGAAAAGTACTCTGGTGCTATATGACCAATTGTGCCACGTACAGCTGTGGTAACATGTGTATCCCTGTAGTCCATGAGTTTAGCCAACCCAAAGTCTCCAACAACTGCTTCGAATTCCACATCCAACAATATGTTTGCTGCTTTCACATCACGGTGAATAATTTTTGGATCACAGTGATCATGTAAATAAGCAAGACCTTTTGCAGATCCCAATGCAATGCGTTGTCTTATTGGCCAATCAAGTGCAGGTTGTCCTTCTGGACGATCTACAATAATATATCCACATACTTATGAGAGGAGAATTTCAAATTACAAGCAACAGGTAATGTGGTCTAACACATATCATACCACCCGTCCTACCCAAAAAAGGGTCATCTTGTCATCCTTTTCAAATTAAACAAAATAAAATCAGCATCGAGAAGATAACTTAAAATTGAAGGAAAAAAAAAACATTAAAAAAAAAAAATCAGTGTTCATACTCCAAACCAAATTGGTCAGGTTCATTATATCAATGTAATCCAAAAAAATTTTAATGTCATGAAAACAAAAAGATTCATCAACGCAGCAAACAATTTAGATGAGTACCTCTTAAACATGATGCCACACTTCCATTGGCCATAAAAGGATATACAAGCAGCCTTTCTGTTGGTGTCGTGCAAAAACCATGCACACGAAGCAGATTGCGGTGGACAGCCATGCTAATCATTTCAACTTCTGTTTGGAACTGTAGCTCCCCGCCTTGGGTTCTCTCCTCTTTAAGTCTTTTTACAGCAACCAGAGTTCCATCATCTAAGCGTCCTTTATAAACCTTACCAAATCCACCACTACCAAGAA